TTATTTTTAACCAAAAAAATAATTACTAAATTATTTAAATCATTATCAATATAATTTAAATGGTTAGGAACTGCAAAATGGTCTTAAAATATGACCTTACTAAGCCCTCTATAAATATGGCACTTGGCGATCTGGGATTTAGCGTGTGCGGGTGAAGGGACAAAAAGGCAAACAAAAAGACAGGGCCAGAGCGTGTGCTGTGCGTGCGTGTGGGAGTTACTGGGCCGAAGCCGAAGCCTAATCCAAAACCGAAAGGGGAGGAGTGGAGGAGCCAATCCAAATGGCGGTGCGACTGTCACAACTGACGCCATCTTCATTTTCAACGCAACCATCTTCACTCAGATCGCCTCCAATGGCTTCGTCTCTCGGCGGCGGCGCCGCCTCCTCCTCTTCCCGCCTCTTCTCTTCCTCCTCCAGAGCTCGACTCTCTCTCTTCTCCTCTCCTTCCTCCTCTTCTCTTTCCTTCCTCTCTCTCTCCTCTTCTGCCTCTCTCAAATCCCCCGCTTTCTCTCCCCTCCGTTCTCATTTGTCTCGCAACCAGGTTTCACCTCTCTCTCTCTCTCTGTCTCTCTCTCTCTACTCTGTCTCAACATCTGAATTTATTTTGATCATATGTTAAGTCTACTTATGATTGTTCTATTTTGTTGCTGTGTTTTTAATTTTAGGGGAGGTCTGCTTTTAAGCTATCAAGCGGAAGGTTCAGCACGGTGGCATCTCCAAAATGTGCAGCTTCAAATCCTGATCAGTTGAAGAGCGCCAGAGAGGACATCAAGGAGCTTCTCAAAACCAAGTTTTGTCATCCTATTCTGGTATTACTTTAAATTTATTTTTCAATCCCCCCCCCCCCCCCCATAAGAGAATCCAAACTGGCTTTCTTGCTTTGTATTGGATGAATGTATGCTATGTCTATACAACTATATATCCCTTCGGCCCGTGTTCAAAATTCATGTATACATGACAGATTCGTCTAGGATGGCATGATGCTGGTACTTACAACAAGAATATTGAGGAATGGCCACAAAGGGGTGGAGCTAATGGAAGCCTTAGATTTGAAGTTGAGCTGAAACATGGAGCTAATGCTGGTAAAGTTTTTGCCTTCATTTGTAATTTAGTTTTCTTTTTTTTTGTCTTTTACTGCCCTGGAATTATATAAAATTTTAATAAAAAAACAAGTAAAAGTATATAAAAACTTAATTAAAAATAATAATTTTATATTTTTATATAAGGTACCGTGTGAAACAGGTCTGTACAAAGCATGGTTAAATTTGTTGATTACAGAGTTGCCTCACAAGTTCTGCTTGCAGGTCTTGTGAATGCATTAAACCTTATTCAGTCAATTAAGGACAAGTACTCTGGTGTGACATATGCTGACTTATTCCAGTTAGCCAGTGCTACTGCTATTGAGGTACTCCTTACTCTTGATTCTGGTATCAGTATGTTAGGAGTGACTGATTATGATGGTTTTACTAACAATCACTTTGAAATTTCAGGAGGCCGGGGGACCTAAGATTCCTATGAAGTATGGAAGGGTAGATGTCACAGGACCTGAGCAGTGTCCAGAAGAGGGCAGGCTTCCTGGTAAGTGAACCTTTGGGTCTGGCTTTTGGTATGTCTATCTAAATGTGAATTGTTGCTTGATCATGGTGTTCCTGGTGTAAAGAGAGATATAGGTGATATTAGTGGCCAATAGTTACTTCTATTAGAGAAGGGCAATTTGATTAATGATTGGACAATAATTTTCAAAAGGCACAACTGCCTGTTTAGGGATTTCTGATGGTTCATGCCATCTTTTTTACTCAAGGTTACATAGTTACCATATTTCACAAGGCATATATGTAAACATAGGTGTTCCATGTTGTTAAGGTAAGCAAAATACATGAAGAGGTGTGCTGTCTGAGAATCTACAGGAATGTTAAGGCCTTGGAGAATTATTTTAGTGATGCAGTAGTTTATAAAATATGGTTCCTTTAAATGATTTTTTCGCCACTACTGAGGATCTAGTTTGGATGCTCATTCGCTCATATTGATTGTCTGTTTTTTTGTATGCTTTTGTTAGTAGTGAGCTTTAGATACCTTCTGTCTTCAAACATGAAAAGTTTTAGGGTGTTCGGATCTCTAAGCATTCTCATGATAGTTTTCTGTTTCATTAGTTCTGTTTCATTTCCAATAAACTTGATGCTATTTTTTGGCCAATGTAAACTTATGTTGTTTGAACCTGAGTTCTGCTAGTATTTAGTGATTACTAAGTTTGGAATGTTCACTTTTATCTTAAGATGCTGGTCCACTATCACCTGCTGATCATCTTAGAGAAGTTTTCTACAGAATGGGGTTGAATGACAAGGTAAATTTATTTATAATCTGTACTTTGGGATTGGTCTTTTATCAATATACAGATAATCTTATTGTCTAGTTTTCTTGATTGCAGGAAATAGTTGCTTTATCTGGTGCACACACACTGGGAAGGTCAAGACCAGAACGGAGTGGTTGGGGAAAACCAGAGACAAAGTATACGGTAATATAATATTAATTTTTTCATCATAAATATGAAAAACATGTCTTTGCATTTAACTTAAATTGGAGTGCGTCCTCAATTCTTTACTGAAGTTGATGATTCTGGTGCAAGTTCTTTTCTTCCATAGTCTGTAATCATTGTTGAAGGTTCAGAAGGAGCTGCTAGAGAGTTATTACATAGTAATTTGATCTTTTTATCAGTAGACACTAAATGTGTAATAACTCGATGACTGGTTCTAGAATTTGACTATTTTTCTTGCATTTTTGTCAGCAAACTTGTAAGTGTTTGCTAATTTTGCTTATCATAGGTATTGTAACTGAATGCCTTTATGATTTGACAATACTCAGGCATCACAGTAGTTCTGGTGCTAGTAGCTGTAGTGCAAATAGTCACCAAGAATTTTTATTTTTTAATGACAGAAAGATGGACCAGGAGCACCAGGAGGACAGTCCTGGACTGTGCAATGGTTGAAGTTTGATAATTCTTACTTCAAGGTTCGAAGTGAGAGATACTTCCAAATGTTTTTAAGAAATAGTTGCATACCTCACTTTTCTGATAGAAAGATTTTATCTACACAGGATATCAAAGAAAAAAGAGATCAAGATCTGCTTGTGTTGCCAACTGATGCTGTTCTTTTTGAAGATCCTTCCTTCAAGGTAAATATGAGTTTAGTTTGAATCAGAATTCAGAAATAGAATTGGAAATCAGCTGAACCTTAAATGATTTGTAGGTATATGCTGAGAAATATGCTGAAGATCAAGAAGCATTCTTCAAGGATTATGCTGAAGCCCATGCCAAACTCAGCAACCTTGGGGCCAAGTTTGATCCTCCAGAGGTTTGGAGTGTCTAATGTTTGAATGAATAGTTGTAATACTTTTCATCATTTTCCCATGAATTCTAAAGTGGACAAGGGAGGTTTTTTTTATTCAGATAGCTCAAATTCCCTTTGTTCAAGGACATGAAAAATAATTGGGATTTTTATTTGTTGTGTTGTAAACGATTTCCAAGAGCTTATAGATGCTTCTTGATTGATGACATTTCAAAAGAAAATCTGGCTTTTCAAGTACCAAACAAAAGACTGAGGAACTCAAAGTTTTGAATTTTGTGGCGCTGCACTTAATTACCAAGTTGACTTTCATTCTAGTTATTGCTTGTGAATTTAGAGGCTTTGTACATTTAGGTATAGAGATACAACAGAACAAGAACATGCACAACCAACTTTTTGCTTCCCTTTTTTTTTTCTTTTTTTCTGCACAAGCTTTAAGAAAATTTACTATTAGTTAGATCATACCAATCACCAACTAAAGGAATAAATGTTATTTGCTTCCTTGAACTGATCTCATTGCTGAATTTGATTTCAGGGTATTGTAATAGATAATGGTCCTGCACAAGCTGCACCAGAGAAGTTTGTAGCAGCCAACTACTCTTCTGGAAAGGTTATATATCAGAATAGCTTGTTTTATATTTTTTTGGTTATTTACCGTCTCATGCATCACATTTTGTTGCATGAAATAATCTTATGGAAGAAATTACTTGTGTGCAAAGTATTTATCTTTATCTTTTATGATGTGGTGCAGGATTAAAAAACCAAGTGTCTTGTTTTGTTGTGCCGTGTCTTTTAAATAACACATGTTCAAATGTGTGAACTCGCATCTTAAACCTGGAAGTCTAAATGATGGGGAAAAGAATAAAATTCAATGAGTGTTGCCTATTTGAATTGCAGAGTGAGCTGTCAGATGCCATGAAGCAGAAGCTTAGAGCAGAGTATGAAGCAGTTGGGGGAAGCCCAGACACGCCTCTTCGCTCTAACTATTTTCTAAACATCATGATTGTAATCGCTGTTTTGGCCCTTTTGTCATCTCTAATTAGTAATTGAAGTCTGAGTTTTGAGATTCTATTATTATTAAAATAGCACCATTTTCCCCTTTTCCCCGTTTGTTTTTGATTGGCGTACTGCGTTTGGATCTGGCAGCATGATCATCCTCGCATTGCCGCATAACAAATTATGACAGCATCTGAGAATGATGTATGATTCCTGCAAACCTACTCCTCCTTTCTCAAATGGAAGGACAGACAAGTCATGGAAAAAAAATGGGAAATTTTATTATGAATCACCCATTAAACGGGTTATCAAAGCAAGCAGGAAAATGTTTCTCATCCTTGCAAAGCCTTGTTTGAATCACAGCAATTATTTCCAAGTTTTTAAATCTTTGTTCCTGAGCTAGCACGATAAAAGTGGAATATTAAACCATGGATATCATATCAAACCGCTAGTCAATATATACCAACTCGACAACCTCTTCCTGGTAATGATTGTGCAAACAAGGTTTTCCTTGTGGATGCAAGTCACGAGATGAAATGGATGCCACACCAAACTCTAACAGACAATCATCTCATGATCAATCACACCATTAACATCGCTTTTGCACACTTTGCAAACTGATGACTTTCAGTTTGGTTAAATAATTTTTCCTTCCTAACTTGAACGGTGAACCTAGCCAAACCGTGCCAAACCCCACCCCATCCCATCACTCGTTTACTTGTTCCTTGTTTAGGACCAAATTGGTAAGAAAAGAAAGTTAGAGGTAAACTAAATGTTGAGCCAAACATTAGGGAGAGGAGGGTAATATACTCAAAACACAATCACATCATTAATCATACGTGTAATCCAGAAAAGCTGCGAGTCCATCACATTCCATAAACTCGCACCACACCAAAAAATCTCCTATCTCACCCTAGCCCTAATTTTCCCCCTTATATACTCATCTTCCTCACAAAAAAACCCTAGTTCTTCCTTTACAGGAGCGACGCAATTCAATCTGTCGCCATGCAGATCTTCGTGAAAACCCTAACGGGGAAGACCATTACCCTTGAGGTTGAATCGTCGGATACCATCGACAATGTGAAGGCCAAGATCCAGGACAAGGAAGGCATCCCTCCTGACCAGCAGCGCCTCATCTTCGCCGGCAAGCAGCTTGAGGATGGTCGCACACTCGCCGACTACAACATCCAGAAGGAGTCCACGCTGCACCTGGTTCTTCGCTTGAGAGGCGGTGCCAAGAAGAGGAAGAAGAAGACCTACACCAAGCCCAAGAAGATCAAGCACAAGAAGAAGAAAGTCAAGCTCGCCGTGCTCCAGTTCTACAAAGTGGATGATTCAGGTAAGGTTCAGAGGCTCAGGAAGGAGTGCCCCAACGCCGAGTGCGGTGCCGGAACTTTTATGGCTAATCACTTTGACAGGCACTATTGCGGGAAGTGTGGACTGACTTATGTCTACCAGAAGGCCGGTGGCGATTAGGTTACCTAGTTTCATTTAATCAAATGGGCTTCTTAAGTTTTCTGGGTACTTGTTAATTTTTCTTATCAAAGTTATGGAATTTTCTTGTTTGAAAATTGATTAATAGCTAAGTTATGAAATTTGGATGATTAATCTGCCCTGTCTATTGATACAAATCAGTTCTATGATATATATATATATATATATATATATATAGTAATTATTATTCTTGCTTTAACAGATTTAAATATTTGATTTGGGTCTATAGATGAGAATTGACTCTATGAGGGAAATGTGTGTCTTAGTGATTGGTTTTGTTTGATACAGAGCAGTGTAGGTTTGACTGGAATATAGAATTTGGTTTGAAACTTTGAATGCCCTGTAATTATGTTTGTGGAAGTTGACAATGCATGTTTCATTATACATGAATGAAGCTGGCTGTGGAATTCCTCTCTAAAGTTGGAATATGGATACCATTGGGAGTTAACTGTTCAAGTAGCTGCTTCTAATCTAGTCCCCAAGAAAACTTTAATCAAAGTTGTTGTCAACTTAGTTATGACAGTGTGAGAATGCAATTTTAATGTTTTCGATGATGAGATGATTGTTAAGTTGTTGTGAACTTAGTTATGACACTGTGAGATGCAGTTTTAACCCTCTGGATGATGAGATGATTATTTCTAAGGTGCCGTTGGTCTTTCTGAAGGAAGGTTGAATTATTCTGATTCAATGTCATTTGTCTAAGCTTTGGACAACCCTATATTGAAAAATTATGCTTGTTTCTAGCCAATATGTGAGTGTTTGTTAGTCTGCAGTTGATACTTGATACGTATCAAATGACAATTACCATTGGACCTTCTTATGGTGATTTTGTGTCTATACTGTTCTGGACATGCAATATTTTCTTTTGAAGGTTTTGCCAGTGATTGCCTGCATGGATGCCGCCTTTCCATTGGAATTTTATGTTTTGATGAGACACTTTGTCTTGGAAAGTTTTCACTGTCAACAAAAAGATGGAACATGTTTTTCTAGTTTATTGAATTGGAGGTTGGCCTTTGTTTTTTGTTGTTTTTGGGTCATGCTCTCTTTCTATCTAGTTTAAAAGTTTTTCATCTGTTATTTGTTAGTTTTACAGTCAGTCTGCCGTTGGCATCACCCACCCCCTTCCTCGGCAAAGTCCAAATTTCCCTCCATTAGAATGGCAGCTGTGATGGGATATCCCCAATGGTTAAGACCCTTCACTCGGGGAAACAAGGGGATGTTTATTGCCATACGGCTCTTTACTGAGGCGGCACAATATTTTGCCTTAATTAGTTTTGCTCTTAAAATATGGGGATAGTTGTAACTATTTATTAATAAAGTAATTAATATTTATTATCTAATTAATTAAAATCAGTTCAAAAGTTGTAAAAAAGGCCGCTAAAAATTAATAAAATTAATTAAACTAAACACAATACTTATAATCTGTGTTTTTGTTTTAGTTGCACAATGAGAGTTAATTATTTTTTATCTTTTATTTTATTTCATCTGCATATCATGCAATTTGAATTCAGAATTTTATTTTTAATGAAATGAGATGATAACTAAATTATTTGGATAGTTAATATCTCTGAATTTCTTTTAAGTACCTAAAATAATAATGAGTTATATAATAAAAAAGTTCTTCTCTTTACAAATTTCTCTCCATCCATATTGAGATTTAAAATTAAAATTTTTCTTTTTATTTTATAATTTAAATTTAAGATTTTTGATGTAAAAGTGAGTCTAAAATCTTTTATATAAAAATTTAAAATTTTAGTTATTAAAATATCTGTATGAGATATTATTTGTGTGCCCTGAAAAAAACAGGGGCAAAAAGAGGAGGCATGTGGCAATAACTGCGGCGGGGAATCAATGCGCAATGGCAAAATGAGAATTTTATCAATTGAAATATTAAGAGATTGCAGTCTCAATTCACATTAATAACTTCTTCGATTATTTTCAGTCTGGAATAACGCGGCCGACAAAAAGCCGGTGCATTGACAATTTCGCTAGTCAATTATGGCTAAATGGGGTTGCACACCTTTCTTTCCATATTGTGGAATAAATACAATTCAAAATGGAAATGTATGTAGTGTGGGACATAACACAAGATCCTAGAAAGGCAAAAGAAAGTGGGTGTGGTCTTAACTCTTAACCCTAGTGACCTAGTCTATATTCCTTTTGGGTGCTGAGATTGCAAACCCATGTTTGGTCTTGGTGGACCCTTTGAGCCCAAAGTGGTTAGCCAAGAATCAGCCGAACTCCCATTAAATATTTCATGGAAAAAACAAAGAAAGTATAACCAAACACAAAAATACAAATGGAAACAGTTTTCTTAACAATGAGAAACTTGGACTATCAATCTCAATCACATATACAGTATGGGGATGAAACTGGTAGAAGCTTTGGTTGTCCAATCACCAAACCTTATTTCACACCAACAGGAATACCAAATTTTTCCCATGTTTACATGTCCCTTTCGTTGAACAACTACTTTTCACCTCCAAACTCAAAACTTCCTATATCATGTAGTGTGAGATTTTTCTCTCAACCACCATTTATTTTGTTTTTGTTCTCAAATAGGTTAACCAAATTCACATCATACCTGTTTTTCAAAATCAACAATATTTTTGCACATAAATATAAATAAATGGATGAACTAACTGGATTATAAATTACATTTTTTTAAATTTTTTTTAATGAATTATATTAAAAATGAGAAGATTCGAATCTTAATTCTTAAACTGAGTGTACATTTTTAACAAAATATTAAATCATTTGGCCACTAAACCTAAGTGGTACAAATTGCATTCTTAAAAATAATATTTAAACAATAAAGAATGTATATATACTCTAATTGAAAAATCAGTTACTCCATAATTTATTTTCTAATCAATGGTTATAATTATGAGACTTTACTCTGTTCCCTCCCACCTCCCAATGTTTGCATTGTAACTTTCAAGCATTGTGTCCTATTCAAATTCAGAACTTTATAAAATTAAATTAATTTAACTGATTGCTTATTAAAATTGTAATCATGAAAAGGCAAATGAAAAGGCTGAAAAACAGTAATCATTGCAAACATGCAATGAACACCTACAGGCACAGATATGTTTTCTTTCTTTTTCTTTTTTCCTTTAGAGAAGTACTACAATTATACAATTTTTGGGATATGTGTGGTGATAACATGGAAGTAATTGGTTAGGAGGGTATCATCCACTAAAACATAACTTGATAAATTATAATTATATAAAATTTTAATTTTTAATTATTTTATTTTTAATAATAAAATTAA